ATGGAGTGAACTCGCTCAAGTCACTCTGACACAGCTAATACTGTTCAATAGTCAGACTTCTTTTTGCTCTGCAAGGTGGAATGGGTAAATTCAAAGGAAAATCCCTGGAAGACATCACACCAAACATCAACTGTAAGTAAAGGATTTCAAATACGTCTATTTTGAATGAAATATGCAATTTGGACACTGTCGGCAAAAAAAAAAAAAAAATGTTGTATTTAAATATTTACTGAAAACATTTTGTTGCAGCTGAGGAGGAGTCTAGTGACTCAGAAGCAGATGTCCAATCTGAGGGGACTGTTAACAGAACTCAAAAAGGTATTTTTTTTTTGCTCCTGTATAGTAATGGTAAAGGAAAAAAATCTGAACTTAATGAATAGTTTTAAAATCATATTGTTTCAATCTGATGTAAACTTCTCATTGACACATATATTTCAGAAACGTCGAAGGATAAACACTGCAAGGAGAGAACTTCATCATGCAAGGCAGCTGAGGGCAATAAAAAGTCATCATTGGCATCAAGTCAAAAGGGTATGTTTTTCAGTTATCTCTATAAAATACTGCAAATGAAAAACCTTGACTTTCATTTCCTAAATTTGGTGTTGGTGCTTTTTATTAATCAATTTATTCCTTCTCTTCCCTCATTTGCTTACAGGGAAATCCAAAAGGCCCTGGTCAGAGACAGAAAGAAAAGTCATCATGCAGCATTTCAAGGACCATCTGAAGGAACTGAAGATCCCTGGAAAAGTGGACTGTGAAAGATGCATAAAAGAGAATCCGATCCTAAGGGACAAGGGAGAGACTGGAAAGCAGTTAAATATTTTGTGCACAACAAAATTGCAGTTGTAAAGAGGAGCTTGTGCCAAGAATAACACCACAAATGCTTGGAACCAGAATCCCGACACCTCACATGATGGACAGACAATGTTAACCACTACCATTATGGAGCGTCAGTCTAAGGGTGACAGTGATGCTCGTCCATCTAAATGGAGCTTTAACATACTGATTTTGAAATGTGAGCTGTGCTCAAACCCAGCCTGTCAAGGCAGAGGGCTGCTCATCCTGAGTCTGGTTCTGCTGGAGGTTTCTTCCTGTTAAAAGGAAGTTTTTCCTCTCCACTGTTGCCAATGTGCTTGCTCAGGATGGGAGACTGCGATAAAGTGAAGATTCATCGCATTCTTCTGGGTTTCTTAGACTTATAACTCTAACTAATTGCCTTTTATGTGAATGTTGTACAGTGCCCAAGGAGAATGTTGGTTGGCACTAGACAAATAATTTTAATATAATGTTTGGAGTCAAGATATTTACCTTACTGTCCTGTCCTGATATTTTGTTTTACTCATTTTATTTTTGTTTTTGTGCATTCATAAGATATTCATATAAACATTACACTATTGACAAAATGTCAAAACAACTGTTTAAGTACTTCATCTATTGTTACCTTTTAAAGTAAACTTTGACTGAAAATACAAACTACTCTACATTTGGTGACTTCTTTCTTCAGTTTTGCTAACTTTAACAAAAAATATGTATGTGATAAATTAGCTATCAGTAAGTATGCAAGTAGTGCCTGTGTTTAAAGCTGAAAGAAATGTGCTGGTGTAATGTTATTTAGATGATCATGTTTATCATTTCAAATGCACATAATGAGATCAATATAAGAATTTGTGGTTATCAATTACAACAGTTAACAATTTCTATGACAAGTTTCCTGGTGAACAATCAAATTTGAAGATTTTCATCTGTCCATCCCTACTTCATTAAGTTCATAAGTAAAGCTATTTGATAAAAGGTCATTTTCTTCTATATCTGGAGTGTGTATGTTGCTCCATCCTATCCAAGAGGGGACTTGTGTCGTTCTGTACAGACCAAGTGGGGACCTTTTATTTTCTAATATTTTTGACATAGGCTGTTGTAAATTTGTCTCCAAAAATGTGCTCTGTAAATAATATTTTACTCTTTATTCTGACCATTTTGTGCTGAAGATCCCTTCACTATTAGAATGGCAGTTCATAAACAGTTTCCCCTTTCCATGCAGAGGAAACATGTCAGACAAATGTTGGGATCTGTAGTTTATATCAACTGAAATAGTTCACCTTAAGTTGTTTTTTCAGCTTACATGTTTTTTGTCTTAAAAATAATTCAGTTAATTTCTTCTTTATCCACCCATCCTGGAGTGTGTATGTCGCTCCATCCTATCTAAGAGGGGACCTGTGTCGTTCTTCACCAGCCAACAGGGGACCTGTGTCATTCTGTACAGACCAAGAGGGGACCTTTATTTTTCTTGTAATGCCTTTGACATGTTCTGGAACTAAAACAATATACACACATTTATTTATTTATGTCTGTCTGTCTAAATGAACAAGAATCTCATTATTGGCGAAACTTATTGTCCACCAGATTCAAATCCTACTTTTTATGTGTCTATCTACCCGTCTGTCTGTCTGTCCATCCATCCATTCTTCATTAAGAAGTTCAGCAGTAAAACTATTTGATAAAAGGTCATTTTCTTCTTTATCTGGAGTGTGTATTTCGCTCCATCCTATCCAAGAGGGGACTTGTGTCGTTCTATACAGACTAAGTGGGGACCTTCATTTTTCTTGTCTTGCCTTTGACATGTTCTGGAACTAAAAAAAATATACACACATTTATTAATTTATTTCTGTCTGTTTGTCCATCCCTACTTCATTAAGAAGTTCAGAAGTAAAGATATTTGATAAAAGGTAATTTTCTTATTTATCTGGAGTGTGTATGTCACTCCATCCTATCCAAGAGGGGACTTGTGTCGTTCTATACAGACCAAATGGGGACTTCCTTTCTGTATTGCAAATCAATAAATAAAATCCATTCCTATAAATATAGAGCGAAGAAACAAGTATTAAAAATTCACACAATTAAAAAGTAGACATTTGTTCATATGTCTCACATGGAATCATTCATAAGGTATATTGGGTGGCCTCAGAGAAAATTTTTTTCCTGTAATTCAAATTGTAACACAAATTGCACTCGTTTAAATAAAGATGAAGGACAAATGTTAATTTCAAATTTGGTTGAAGTACGTTTTAAAAGTGGCTAATGAATGTTTTGGAACTGAAGAAAATTTATTCATGAAAATACAAAAGAAGAAAACTATTTACTTCTGACCTTTGTACATTACATTTTATTCTTTTTGCTTTTTCCAAGTCCTGTCTTTAAATTCCTCTTTAAGTAAAACTTTTATATTTTGCTTTAAAAAATACTAAAGTGTGTTTCTAGATCCTGGTTTGTTCTCATAGTAGCCTGTTTTTCAGCCACTCCACAGTCTGAAAGGGTTCTCTAGGCTCCTTTGTATTGTTAAGTGGAGTGTGTGAAAAGCACAAAAGCGACGTGTGTAAAAGGGTCATTGTAATTCATGCCCCAACCTGCTGTGGCGCTGTTGAGCATTAACTCTACACACACTTATGTCCCCTCTTGGCAAAAGGTTTAAAAAATTTCCAGATGGATTTTAACATGTTTTTAACTTGATTTAGAGCATGTCCAGGAGGGGACCTAAAAAATTTCCCCTCTTGGCCGGAGGATCCCGTTTGTGAGTTTGAAGCGACGCGACTGTCCCCTGTTGGATAGGTGCGTAAGTGCGCACACACACTTGGTTGAAGACAAAGAATGGTTGAAGAAGAGGATTCAAGAATCAGCATGTTACTCAAGCAGGTTGACTGACTCACATTTATCCACATATAGTTTTTCTCATCTACTACAGCCCTCCACCCAGTTTCTCCATAATGGGTGCCATCTCACACACATCCTGAGATTTTGCATCCCCACCTCACCCATGCCAATCCCCCCACAACATTCCTCCATGGATTGGAGGAAAACATGCTGAACTATAAAGTGTAGAATGTTTGAACTTTTGATGCACAATGTTTGAAGATAAGAAGAGTATGCTACTCAAGGAGGTTGGTTGACTGGCTTACAATTCTTCAGTCTCTTTCTGCAAATCTTTCTGATTTGCTATAGCCCCTCTGACCAGTTTCTCTGTATGGCTGCCATCTCTCACACATCCTGAGATTTTGCGTCCCCTCCTCACCCATGCCCATCCCCCCTCAACATTCCATCCATGGATTGTAGGAAAACATGCTGAACTATAAAGTGTAGCGTGTTTGAACTTTTAATTCAAAAAGTTTGAATACAATACAGTGCTTGGTTGAAGACAAAGAATGGTTGAAGAAGCAGTAATCATCATGCTACTCAAACAGGTTGACTGGCTCACATTTATATATTTATTTATCCACATATAGTTTTTCTTATCTACTACAGTCCTCCACCCAGTTTCTCCATAATGGGTGCCATCTCAAACACATCCTGAGATTTTGCGTCCCCACCTCACCCATGCCCATCCCCCCCACAACATTCCTCCATAGCTTGCTCTCAAACTTTGCAGATTTGAGTGGTGTGAAACCTACAAAATGTCCATTACAAAGAATATGTTTTTCTCCTGAAGCATTACTTTGGGAGATAATAAAAGTTAACTGATTAATTTCCTAGTTTTATAACTTAATGGGGCTTGGGATGCGCGTTGCATAGTGGG